AGTCTATGCTGCATACAAAGCAGGATGTCTGCAAAGCACAAGGCAACCACCTCAGGCAGAGCCTCTCAAGGTAAATGCAAAGGTGACTCAAAAATGTGTAAGTCTAACCCTCAGGGACTGCAGTTAAATCCTTTCACTTGTAGTCAGCTTGAGTCACCACTAATCTTCTCATTAGGGGCGCTTTATGCTTTGTTTTTAAGATCATCACTCAGGAACACGTGTCTGCAAATCAAGGCCTTTGTTCTCAAAGTAACCTTTACAACCTTCTTGTGCCCAGGAGGCTGTTCTTGCCCATACTAAAACCTGGATGCCTACAGCTGCACTGGTAGTGGTGGGATAACCATCAGCGTGGAAACCATAACTTTGAATTTCCTGACTCAGCTGTAAAACCTGAAATCACATTTCATTAACACTGATTGCCTACTCAGAGGAAACATGAAAGGGGCTATGAATCTCTGACGGAGATTTAAGAACAAGGTTTAACAGTTGATTTCTTCAATTACTCCAGAAACAAAGCCTTGTTTTCACGTTATCTGGGAAGGACTAGCTGACTTCTGAGAGGGATGCTTTATTCTCGGCACTAACAGGCTTCTCTGCATTTGGTACATTACCCAAAGTTGACCCCAGCAGGTGTTTAAGTGAATAGGTATTTGTTTAAACTCAACTCTTCTAGGGCAAAGAGGCATCCAACTGAAGTTCTTCAAGCAATGGGAAGTCATCTTAAGGAACTGCTTGCAGCACAGTGGTCCTGGAGGCTCACTCCTGCCCTTGTGGTACATCCTGCTAGTATCTCTCCCAGTCCCTGTGCTGCTGGGACGAGGAGGAAGGCACAAGCTTGGTCTGACAGTCTCTCTGCCTGGAGCCCTCATGGTCACAATGCCTGCATTTCACCCTTGACTCAGTTCCCACCAGTCACTCACTCTCCTGCAACTTCCCAGCCTCCTGAGAACAAAAAATTCCCTAGCTCAACTCATACTTTCTGCCACATAAGATACAGCCAGGGTACCAAGTATGGTAGCTCCTCTTGGAAGAGGCAGTGGGGGTGTCTAGTGAAGACTGGGTAATGGCCAACTGTTCCTTAAGTCTAGGGAGAAATGCAGGGCCATCCAGAAACACTAGGGCATGAGTTTCATTAGATCCTACCTAAACGGAGTCCCAAAATTTTGCTGCCTAAATTCTCAAAACTCAACTACTTCACAAGTACCTTCGTGTATTTTACTACACCCAAGTCAAATAAAACACGACATTTATGTGACTTTAAATCTTCTTCCAAAATAACCTTCCCAATGTTCTCATCACCCCACAGGGTGAAGTTAATGGGCTCCCTGCGACAGTCAGAGGCCAAGGGTCGCACATACAAGAGACATCTACTCACACGAGTGGGTATCTGCATTGTACGTACCACATTCAGTCCACAGTGGGAACACACAGCACATGACAAAAGAAGACAATTTGTGATTGATTTCAGGAGTTGTCAAAAGGTTCTGTGATGCTGAAACCAGAAGCCAGTTAATTTGTGTGAAACCAAGGGACAAAGAGCAATGAAGTGTCTTGAACCCTTCATTTCCATCTGTGTTCCAACCTCCATGCTGGACAGACAGTACAGAATTCTGGACCGCCAAGTCAGGACCCTTGGGCTTGTATCCCCAGAAGATATGGATTTGGGTAAACACCTTTCTCCTCCGATCCTTGGTGCTCTTGTGTGTAAATTCAGGATTCTAGTGTCCACCCTGGCTAGGCCTGCATTGAGATCAAATGGGACAACTTTCATGAAAAGACTTGTGCTCATCATTTGCCTCTGGACTAAAAACAACCCTGTGGGAACTCTCTGCAGGCCAAATATATGAAGTCTTAGCTGAGAATTTTATTTCCCTGAGGACAGGTAAACTAGAGTCTTCCCGTGAATTCCTTTCTGGGATCCACAAGATTCTATCACAGGCTGCCACAAATGCAAACTAAACTGCTTGTAAGGTAAGAGTTCTACCTTGATAGCATTACTCTTAAAATGCTCTCATACATGAGAGGTTTTCTAATGTGCTCAAGTCATCAAAAATAAGCCATTTTCATTGTTAGTTCTGAATGTAAGTTTGAACCTAAAGGCAGATAAATGCAATTAGCTCAAAAGAACGGGGGTGGTTATGAGCTGCTGCCCCAGTGAGAAACTGCAGGACCTTAGAGCTTGTTGAATGCCTCTTTGCAAGTTGCAGCAGCTAGGTAGTTTTGGATATGAGCATCCAAGAATATCAAAGAAATAATTTTTTTGGCACTGACATCTTCATAATTTTGTAATTGCTTACTCAACGCTGGACACGGAATCTCAGAACAAATTTCCATAAAACTGTCAAAAATATCAATCGACAAATACCTTAAGTTGGACATTTTGCTTCTAGGACAGCACAACTGTAAAACTGTCCAGATTGAGGCATGTCTAGAAGTAGATGAGGTGACAGTTGAGGATATGTTCACGAGGCTAGCATGCGCACAGCACCTCTAACGAGAATACTACCTCTGGCTGAAGAACATCCACATTTCCCCTGCTTTTGGCTGCAGGAACCCAGAATTTCATAGCTGTGTGTGATGATTTGAAACCAAGTTTTTTGATATCCCAAGGCTGTGTAATTTTCAACCACTTGCAGGTATTCTGAGGCTGCAGCTAAGGTTCCAACATACACTGTTTTAGGACAAGGCTGGATCTCTTGCAGCTGAGACTATGAAGCCATATTGCTAAAGAGTGGCCCAAAGCGAGGTATGTATCCATAAATACTCTTAAGGACTTAGGGTCTGTCACTCTCATTTGACCTGCCAATCTTAGGAAGCTCATGATGCCTTCTTTACTCTGGTTTTGCTTGTAGTGTCTTGAGAGTTCTGCTCTCCTCTCATTGAAACTAAGTTTTCCCTGGTTCAGGGTGATTCCTGTCTTTGTTGTTCTTCAGACTCTGCAAGACTACATTTGAAGCAAAAACGATGGTTAACTTAAAAACCAAGTTTAAGCAATTACTTTTAACATTAGAATTACAATATCAAGAACATCAAGATTCTGTGCACATTAAGCCAGGGCTGAGATTAATATATAGACATAAAAATTTAATTTAATAATACATTAGCAATGAGAGGAAACAGATGCCCACTTGTTTAAAAAAGTTAAATCTATGCATTCGTCTCAGTTTTTTATTCCATTCAACAGCCAATGTTTTGGATGTCTCTAAAGACAATTAAAGGCATCACAGGCTTCACCCATCAGATACCCAGTAGGAATTCCAACCCCTTGAGGCAGGCACGTTCCACCTTCTAGAGGTGCACACTATGCACGTGTCATATTTTTTGTGCCAAAGCTATCTCATCTGTTAAACATTTTTAATAAGGTTATACATGAATTAACGGAGGAATACTTTAAAAGTGGGAAGAACTTACATTTCCATGCTCACTACCCTCCTAATCTGCCCAATTCAGCAAAGATTACTACTATATAAACCTGGTACTAAGCTGCGCACTAGAGGAGAAAGTTCACACATAAACCTGGTACTAAGCTGCGCACTAGAGGAGAAAGTTCACACAATCCCTGCTGTGGGGAAGGGGATGCAGTGTCTTATGTGGCGAGGGGAATCCAAGCTCTCAGTGGAGGCCCGGTGATGCTGCTGTCCAGACCCTGGGGTTGCCACTCTATGAGGGATCGCCAGCTTCTCCTCTCCAAAGCCACCCAGAGCTCAGATGTTATTAGGCCAGCGTGTGGTCCACTGTGTCAGTCCAATGGACAACTCTGCTCTGTGCCCTACCTGGATAAACACCTCCCTCTTACTCCAGATGCCCCCAGTCTTCCAGTGTGTACAGATACACTCGATGCATTAGTACCTTCCTCAGACTCGCTTTTCCCTGAGGCTAAATCTTTGGATCATATAGGTACACGAGCTGTGAAAAACCTGAGATAATGTGTAGGTGGCTAATATTGTATGTATATATTATATACACATTATACATATATATGTAATATAAGCCAGTACAGTGCTCTGTACATAGCAGATATTGAAGATTATTCCTTCCCAGTCCAACATAAACTCCACCATCCTGTCTAGGTGACACACCTTTGAAGATGATCACTTACCCCCGTGTTATTTATGGTTTTTAATTTTTCAGCCAGCCTTGACTGACTTGTGTGTCATCATTCGATGTAACAACGCACATGGTATCACACTGGAAGTGCGGCTTCCAGTCCAATTGATGAATACTGTACTTAACTCAGCAACCAAAGTCAGTATCTGTTACAGACGATCCTTCCAGAATACTGTGGGGCTTCCAATCCTCCTACTTAGTAAAACCTTAAAATGTCAGATTTTTGAGTCCCAGGACTTTAGAATTCTTAGTTTAAACTCCTCCTCATACTGAATCTTCATCCACCCAACCAGTAGCAGCCCAAGAAGCCTGGTGTAAAGATCTCAGTGTGTTATGCTAGAAATGCTTCCCAAACCCAAATGGCTGGCAATGGTTTATGTGGGCTAACTTAAAGGCCGTGTTCATGTGTCCAGTCCAATATGGTAGCCATTAGCCACATGTGGCTACTTGACACTTGAAATGTAGTTTGTGTGACTGGTAAATTGGATTTCTAGTTTTATTTAACTTTAATAAATTTAAAGAGCCACAAATGCCTAGGGTAACCATATTGAACAGCATACCTCTAAAGCATCAAGGGTTTGAGGGACATGATAACCTTTTGATAGGCAGTACTTTTACAAATCAAAGAGGTACTCAATAAATATTTAGCACCAACTGGTCACTGTTAACTTTTATCACCTACCTTTCCTAGCTCCTTTCAAGTAAAGACAAAACCAAAACAAAAGTAGCAATAATGAAAAAACCCACACTACTTTAACAACAACAAAAAAACCACATTACCTTAACAACAAACTCCCTTGAAAAAACTAGGCATTTTTAATATATAGGAGTGGCACAGCCAAAGATAAAAAATAAACTAATGTCATCAAGACAAAGAATTAGAAAAATAAGCATACTAGAAGTTATTTATGTTTAATGCTTAAAAGTCTGAATGCACAAACAATCTACCATTATAGAAGTACTGGTGGTCAATACAATGCATTAGAATTATGTACAATGCACAGTTTAGTATCAAAATCTTTCTACACTGTAGAGTTTTACGAAACTGTTAATGACATCAAACACTAAGCACTTAAGACACCATTTTTTTTTCTGCTACCACATTAGGAACGTCAATGGACAGTCCATTTCAACTTGCAGCATCCATCCATTTCTAGTATGAAATTAAGTAATTTTCTACTTATACAATAAAGTATATCTACACGGTTCTTTTGATTTTGATCCATAGCAGCAAAGGCACTGTACATCAGCAGATCCACAGACTTAAAAGATTTTTTAAAGCATTCAAACAAAAAATAATAATAAAAAAAGAAGTCACATATTATAGTTTAACAGCAACAACAACAACATAAAAGATAACACAATGTTTCTGGCACAATGGCACAGCCTGTGTCCATTTCAGGGACATCCAACTAAGACATGGAAAGAACCGGAGGTAAAGAAAGCAAGTCCTCATCCCAGGAGAGAGTCCATTCTTTGTGTTTTTCAGAGGGAGGTCTCTGCAAACCCTCCTCTGCTGTCCTTGTTTTGTGAAAGACTTGACTTGCACAGCAGTGGGAGTCCTCCCCATAACTGTGCAGCTCCCAAAGAGCATGCCACAAAATAACCCATAATTTCTCATAACAACAAAACTGACTAAAGATATATATATATATATGTGTGTATATATATATATATCTCCCTTTTGCAAAGAAACGTGGCAAAAATATCCAGAAGGGATTAAGTTCTCTCTTTGAGGCCAAATTTAATTTGTTCATCTGTCTATAATACAACAAAAAAGGGAACTAAAAACATATTACAAAGACACTTGTCAACGAGTCAAAAAAAGAAAAGAAGTCCAATTACTTTTATCGAATATAATCTAAAGCTATAGATATATTGGTTAACGTCGTCTAAATAGATCCAAATGAGTATGAGATGGCCTGTTGTGTTCTAATTGTTCAGCCAAATTTCCAAAGGTCTTTGAAAGATGTAGAAAACAAAAACAAAAAAACCTAATAACAACACAGCAACATATTGCTTCCATGTGTAATTATACATTTCACATCTCTATACAGTCATCAGTCTACATTTAGTGACATTTTAAATCAATTATTTTAAACCTTCCTTTCCCCTCCTTTGCCAAAAAAAGGGGGGGAGGGGTATCAAATACAACGCACCTTCATTATCAATGCAGGAGCAGACAGCTTTATTTAGTCAGTCATTGTTAGAAAGCCTTCTTTAAACAAAATAAATATATTACAGATATAATACATAATTAAAGATTCTGTTCACTGTTAAGTATGCTTATTCCATGTTCTTCCAAGTAGATAGCTGAAGATTTGGTATCACAGGTTTTTAATGACTATTCACAATTCAATAGCAAGTGGGAAGTGAGGTTAAGAAAGGGGATTTAAACTCCACAACTGCAATGAGTATCTGAAATCCTTGGTTTTTAGATGCGGGGATGGGGGTGAACAAAAAGGATGACAGAGCAAAGTGCTACCAGGAGGAGTCCAGTCTGCATGAAGATTTGTCCTTAATAAATAACTTCATAAACCGTGGCCTTCTTATCCCCAGAGCCAGTGACAATATATTTGTCATCCACGGAGATGTCACAGCTAAGCACCGATGAGGATTCTTTGGACTAGGAAAGAAACATATAATCAAAAATGTTAAATACCGAAAGAAAAATCCCATGAGTATGGAGGACTTGAAGCAAATGCAAATTTAACGTGCTCCTTCACCAAACAGGAGCCCAGTCAAGGAAAGGTGAAAGGTGGTCACGGAGAGTGTTGCTGCCTTTTTTTAAATTTATTTATTTTTTAACGAGACAGGGTCTCCCTCGGTCACTGAGGATGGACTGCAGTGGTGTGACCACAGCTCACTGCAGCCTTGACCTTCTGAGCTCAAGCAATCCTCCCACCTCAGTCTCCTGAACTGCTGGGACTATGACATTGGTGTGTCCCATTACACCTAATTTTTTAACTTTCTTTTTCTAGAGACAGGGTCTCACTAAGTTGCCCAGGCTGGTCTCAAACTCCTGGGCTCAAGTGATCCTCTTGCTTTGACCTCCCAAATTATGCATGAGATTACAGACATGAGCCACCACATGGCACTTTCTTAAAATGGCAGAGGTGGATCGGATCCACTCTTGGCAACACCTCACTGGGTCAGTCAGGAGGCTTCTGCCCTGAGGACATCAGGTAGGCAGGCAAGCCAATGGTTTCAGCACCTCTGCTGGCAAAGCAAGACCTTATTTCAAGCCCTAGTCTACCGTTAAGAGGGGGGTGTTATTGGCATGAAAAACCCTCAACTTCAAACAGATGGCTTGGAGTTAGGTTGAGCTGTGGAACACGGCACAGGTCACTTAACCTGTCTGTACCTCAGTTTCCTTACAATAGCAAATAGGTAGACATTTTACCTGTCTACCACCTCAGAGGGATGCAGCAGAGTTCAGTGAGATCAGATATGAGAAATGGCACTGAAAACACTTTAAAAAAAAAACAAAGAATGTAAAATTATTTCTAGTGAAAAGCCTAATGCTCCCACTGTTAAAATGTAACACAAATTTGCAAGAGGGGAGAGGTTCAACAGTTAAAAAGAAAAACATACCATACAGTTTTATATATACTATATTCAACTGTAGTATGAAGGATTCAATGTTAACTTTTAACTAAACTGTGCTCACTGAAAATGAAAACAACACAGGATTTTAACCAGGACTCTGAATACTTTAAACACTTAAAGACATAGTACTTAGGCTTACTATAAAAAATGTACTTTTTTAAGTGCAGTTGGGACTATCTAACAAGTCATAATCCATGATATGAAAAATGCTGTATTAAATTATAGGTTTCGAGATCTGCACCAAAATGGCCGAACAGGAAGAGCTCCAGACTCCAGCTCCCTGAGTGTGCAATACAGAAGATGGGAGATTTCTGCATTTCCAACTGAGGTACCGGGTTCATCTCACTGGGGCGTGTCACACAGTCGGTGCAGGACAGTGGGTGCAGCCCAACGAGCGAGAGCCAAAGCAGGGCGAGGCATCGCCTCACCCGGGAAGCGCAAGGGGGAAGGGAAATCCCTTTCCTACCCAAGGGAAACCGTGACATACAACACATGGAAAATCGGGTCACTCCCACCCTAATACTGCGCTTTTGCAAGGGTCTTAGCAAATGGCACATCAAGAGATTATATTCCGCACGTGGCTTGGAGGGTCCCATGCCCACGGAGCCTCCCTCATTGCTAGCACAGCACTCTGAGATCTAACTGCAAGGTGGCAGGGAGGCTGGGGGAGGGGTGCCCACCATTGTTGAGGCTTAAGTAGGTAAACAAAGTTACCTGGAAGCTCAAACTGGGTGGAGCCCACTGCAGCTCAAGGAGGTGTGCCTGCCTGCCTGCCTCTGTAGACTCCACCTCTGGGGACAGGGCATAGCCAAACAAAAGGCAGCAGAAACCTCTGCAGATATAAATGTCCCTGTCTGATAGCATTGAAGAGAGTAATGGTTTTCCCAGCACAGAGTTTGAGATCTGAGAACGGACAGACTGTCTGCTCAAGTGGGTCCCTGACCTCCGAGTAGCCTAACTGGGAGGCATCCCACACTAGGGGCAGACTGACACCTCACACCTCACACCTCACACGGCTGGGTACATCTCTGAGACAAAGCTTCCAAAGGAACGATCAGACAGCAACATATGCAGTTCAGCAATATTCACTCTTCTGCAGCCTCCGCTGCTGATACCCAGGCAAACAGGGTCTGGAGTGGACCTCGAGCAAACTCCAACAGATCTGCAGCTGAGGGTCCTGACTGTTAGAAGGAAAACTAACAAACAGAAAGGACATCCACACCAAAACTCCCTCTGTACGTCACCCTCATCAAAGACCAAAGGTAGATAAAACCACAAAGACAGGGAAAAAGCAGGCTGGAAATTCTAAAAATCAGAGTGCCTCTCCCCTTCAAAAGGAATGTAGCTCCTCTCCAGCAATGGAACAAAGCTGGACGGAGAATGACTTTGATGAGTTGAGAGAAGAAGACTTCAGACAATCAAACTTCTCTGAGCTAAAAGAGGAATTACGATCCCAGTGGAAAGAAACTAAAAACCTTGTAAAAAGATTTGATGAATGGCTAACTAGAATAACCAATGCAGAGAAGTCCTTAAACAACCTGATAGAGATGAAAACCATGACATAAGAACTACATGTCAAATGTACAAGCTTCAGTAACTGACTCGATCAACTGGAAGAAAGGGTATCAGTGATCGAAGATCGAAAGAATGAAATGAAGCGAGAAGAGAAGTTTAGAGAAAAGAGTAAAAAGAAATGAACAAAGATTCCAAGAAATATGGGACTATGTGAAAAGACCAAATCTACGTCTGATTGGTATACCTGAAAGTGAAGGGGAGAATGGAACCAAGTTGGAAAACACTCTGCAGGATATGATCCAGGAGAACTTCCCCAACTTAGCAAGGCAGGCCAACACTGAAATTCAGGAAATACAGAGAACACCACAAAGATATTCCTCAAGAAGAGCAACTCCAAGAAACATAATTGTCAGATTCACCAAAGTTGAAATGAAGGAAAAAAATGTTAAGGGCAGCCAGAGAGAAGGGTCGGGTTACCCACAAAGGGAAGCCCATCAGACTAACAGTGGATCTCTCTGCAGAAACCCTACAAGCCAGAAGAGAGTGGGGGCCAGTATTCAACATTCTTAAAGAAAAGAATTTTCAACACAGAATTTCATTTCCAGTCAAACTAAGTTTCATAAGTAAAGGAGAAATAAAATCCTTTACAGACAAGCAAATGCTGAGAGATTTTGTCACCACCAGGCCTGCCCTACAAGAGATCCTGAAGGAAACACTAAACATGGAAAGGAACAACTGGTAGCAGCCACTGCAAAAACATGCCAAAATGTAAAGACCATCAATGCTAGGAAGAAACTGCATCAACTAACAAGCAAAATAACCAGTTAACATCATAATAACAGGATCAAGTTCACACATAAGAATATTAACCTTAAATGTAAATGGACTAAATGCTCCAATTAAAAGACACAGACTGGCAAATTGGATAAAGAGTCAACACTCATCAGTCTGCTGGATTCAGGAGACCCATCTCACACACAGAGACATACATAGGCTCAAAATAAAGGGATGGAGGAAGATCTACCAAGCAAATGGAAAACAAAAAAGGGCAGGGGTTACAATCCTAGTCTCTGATAAAACAGACTTTAAACCAACAAAGATCAAAAGAGACAAAGAAGGCCATTACATAATGGTAAAGGGATCAATTCATCAGGAAGAGCTAACTATCCTAAATATATATGCACCCAATACAGGAGCACCCAGATTCATAAAGCAAGCCCTTAGATACTTACAAACAGACTTAGACTCCCACACGATAATAACGGGAGACTTTAACTGTAACATTAGACAGATCAACGAGACAGAAAGTCAACAAGGATATCCAGGAATTGAACTCAACTCTGCACCAAGCGGACCTGATAGACATCTACAGAACTCTCCACGCCAAATCAACAGAATATACATTCTTCTCAGCACCACATCGCACTTATTCCAAAATTGACCACATAGTTGGAAGTAAAGCACTCCTCAGCAAATGTAAAAGAACAGAAATTATAACAAACTGTCTCTCAGACCACAGTGCAATCAAACTGGAACTCAGGATTAAGAAACTCAATCAAAACTGCTCAACTACATGGAAACTGAACAACCTGCTCCTGAATGACTACTGGGTACATAACGAAACGAAGGCAGAAATAAAGATGTTCTTTGAAACCAATGAGAACAAAGATACAACATACCAGAATCCTGGGACACATTTAAAGCAGTGTGTAGAGGGAAATTTATAGCACTAAATGCCCAGAAGAGAAAACAGAAAAGATCAAAAATACACACCCTAACATCACAATTAAAAGAACCAGAGAAGCAACATTCAAAAGCTAGCAGAAGGCAAGAAATAACTAAGATCAGAGCAGAACTGAAGAAGATAGAGACACACACAAAAAAAACCCTTCAAAAAAATCAATGAATCCAGGAACTGGTTTTTTGAAAAGACCAACAAAATTGATAGACCGCTAGCAAGACTAATAAGGAAGAAAAGAGAGAAGAATCAAACAGACACAATAAAAAATGATAACGGGGATATCACCACCGATCCCACGGAAATACAAACCACCATCAAAGAATACTATAAACACCTCTATGCGAATAAACTAGAAAACCTAGAAGAAATGGATACATTCCTGGACACACATACTCTCCCAAGACTAAACCAGGAAGAATTTGAATCCGTGAATAGACCAATAACAGGTTCTGAAATTGAGGCAATAATAGCCTACCAACCAAAAAGAGTCCAGGACCAGACAGATTCACAGCCGAATTCTACTAGAGTACAAGGAGGAGCTGGTAGCATTCCTTCTGAAATTATTCCAATCAATAGAAAAAGAGGGAATCCTCCCTAACTCATTTTATGAGGCCAACATCATCCTGATACCAAAGTCTGGCAGAGACAGAACAAAAAAAGAGAATTTTAGACCAATATCCCTGATGAAACATCGATGCAAAAATCCTCAGTAAAATACTTGCAAACTGAACCCAGCAGCACATCAAAAAGCGTATACACTATGATCAAGTGGGCTTCATCCCTGGGATGCAAGGCTGGTTCAACATACGCAAATCAATAAACGTAATCCAGCACATAAACAGAACCAAAGACAAAAACCACATAGATTATCTCAATAGATGCAGAAAAGGCCTTTGACAAAATTCAACAGCCCTTCATGATAAAAACTCTCAATAAATTCGGTATTGATGGAACATACCTCAAAATAATAAGAGCTATTTATGACAAACCCACAGCCAATATCATACTCAATGGGAAAAAACTGGAAGCATTCCCCTTGAAAACTGGCACAAGACAGGGATGCCCTCTCTCATCATTCCTATTCAACATAGTGTTGGAAGTTCTGGCCAGGGCAATCAGACAAGAGAAAGAAATAAAAGGTATTCAATTAGGAGAAGAGGAAGTCAAATTGTTCCTGTTTGCAGATGACATGATTGTATATTTAGAAAACCCCACTGTCTCAGCCCAAAATATCCTTAGGCTGATAAGCAACTTCAGCAAAGTCTCAGGATACAAAATCAATGTGCAACAGTCAGTAGCATTCTTATACACCAGTAGCAGACAAACAGAGAGCCAAATCATGAGTGAACTCCCATACACAATTGCTTCAAAGAGAATAAAATACCTAGGAATCCAACTTACAAAGGATGTGACGGACCTCTTCAAGGAGAACTACAAACCTCTGCTCAATGAAATAAAGAGGACACAAACAGATGGAAGAACATTCCATGCTCATGGACAGGAAGAATCAATATTGTGAAAACGGCCATACTGCCCAAGGTAATTTATAGATTCAATACCATCCCCATTAAGCTACCAATGACTTTCTTCACAGAATTGGAAAAAACTACTTTAAAGTTCATATGGAACCAAAAGAGAACCCTCATTGCCAAGACAATCTTAAGCCAAAAGAACAAAGCTGGAGGCACCACGCTACCTGACTTCAAATTATACCACAAGGCTACAGTAACCAAAACAGCATGGTACTGGTACCAAAACAGAGATACAGACCAATGGAACAGAACAGAGCCCTCAGAAATAACACGACACATCTACAACCATCTGATCTTTGACAAATCTGACAATAACAAGAAATGGGGAAAGGATTTCCTATTTAATAAATGGTTCTGGGAAAACTGGCTAGCCATATGTAGAAAGCTGAAACTGGATCCTTTTCTTATGCCTTATACAAAAATTAATTCAAGATGGATTAGAGACTTAAATGTTAGACCTAAAATCATAAAAACCCTAGAAGAAAACCTAGGTAATACCATTCAGGACATAGGCATGGGCAAGGACTTCATGTCTAAAACACCAAAAGCAATGGCAATGAAAGCCAAAATTGACAAATGGGATCTAATTAAACTAAAGAGCTTCTGCACAGCAAAAGAAACTACCATCAGAGTGAACAGGCAACCTACAGAATGGGAGAAAATGTTTGCAATCTACTCATCTGACAAAGGGCTAATATCCAGAACCTACAAAGAACTCAAACAAATTTACAAGAAAAAAACAACCCCATCAAAAAGTGGGCAAAGGATATGAACAGACACTTCTCAAAAGAAGACATCATTTATGCAGCCAACAGACACATGAAATATGCTCATCATCACTGGCCATCAGAGAAACGCAAATCAAAACCTCAATGAGATACCATCTCACACCACTTAGAATGGCGATCATTAAAAAGTGAGGAAACAACAGGTGCTGGCGAGGATGTGGAGAAATAGGAACACTTTTACACTGCTGGTGAGACTGTAAACGAGTTCAATCATTGTGGAAGACAGTGTGGTGACTCCTCAAGGATCTAGAACTAGAAATACCATTTGACCCAGCCATCCCATTACTGGGGATATACCCAAAGGATTATAAATCATGCTGCTATAAAGACACATGCACATGTATGTTTATTGCGGCACTATTCACAACAGCAAAGACTTGGAACCAACCCAAATGCCCATCAGTGACAAACTGGATTAAAAAAATGTGTCACATATACACCATGGAATATATACACCATGGAATACTATGCAGCCATAAAAAAGGATGAGTTCATGTCCTTTGTAGGGACATGGATGCAGCTGGAAACCATCATTCTCAGCAAACTATTGCAAGAACAGAAAACCAAACACTGCACGTTCTCACTCATAGGTGGGAGTTGAACAATGAGATCACTTGGACACAGGAAGTGATGTCACTTCATCACACACTGAAGTCTGTTGTGGGGTGGGGGGAGTGGGGAAGGATAGCATTAGGACATATACCTAATGTAAATGACGAGTTAATGGGTGCAGCACACCAACATGGCACATGTACACATATGTAATAAACCTGCATGTTGCGCACATGTACCCTAGAACTTAAAATACAATAAAAAAGAAAAATAAGTTAAAAAAAATAAATTAGAAGCTTCATGACTGCAACAATTGGCTTTTTTTGCCCTACTGATTATCTTGCATACTATTTTGGATTCGATGGAACTAATCTACTTTATGATGACTTAATACCACTTGGTCAAGAAAACTGCAAGTCTATTACATTACTTCTAGAAATGAACACTAGGAAATAACATCCTAAATAAATATAGAAGGTTAATAAAGGCAAGTCTTTCACCTTGCCTATGAAATTCTCACGTACCAGTAGGAGAGAGGAGGAGAGAGTGTGTGTGTACACGTGCATATATGGGTACTATGTCTACAATTTGGTCCTTCTACAAATAATTTCACAAGCTATACAAAGTTCCACTGAGTCAAGAGGAAAAGTAAAAGTTTATAAAACTGATTTTTATCAAACGTTTTCATAGCACTCTTCTTTGGAAAAATAAAAATAAAAAAACTACTACTACTAACAAGAGCGTATTTAAGCAAAATGCTCGACTTTTAAAATTAAAAATTAAAAAACACATACATGTACAAAATTCCCAAAAGACATAAAACCTCTACTCCAAAAAGGAATTGATGATGAAGCAACAGTGAGCACTGAATCAGGCACAGCACTGGCTCTGAGCGCAGAACACTGGGGACTATCCCCAGCTCCATGGCTTTGCTGTGACACTTAACCTCCCCTTGGACACAGTTTCCTTCTCTGTACAATGTGCATAATACTAGCTCTGACCTGCCAGGACACTTCTGCACATTATTAATCTCAGAGAATGCACAGAGAGTTTGATTAAACAAACATAAGTGGTAGTTAACAAGTTCCATGTTACCTGGAATATACTGGCCCCATAAGGTGTTCTCCAGGCATTCAGAAGGTTGTCCTTTCCAGTGCTTACAAACCATTTGCCTACAGGTAAAGGGTTTTGAAAAAGGCAATGTTTGTGTTACTTTGTCAGACACCAAGATGTGCTTTATAGAACATCAAACTATTCACAGAAAACTCATTCATTTGTAAAAAAGTAACTTTCACTTCAAAAATAAAGTCTATCTTTCTGGATTTAATGAGTCATTAATCCTTAAGGTTAAAGTGGATTAATGCCAGAAAATTACATGGTGTTGGGGAAGCAGGCATGTATCAGGAAGTAATAGAATTCTGAAGAGGGGCATGGTAATGAACTCAAGGATTCGACTTGGAAATAAAAACACAGGAAGGGGGAAGGAGCAATTCTGGTTGACAGAAAATGGACAAAAGGTGCTTGCTTACCACAATGGGCAAACTTGAGCGACAGCACACAGCTCTCATGAAGATGTAGTTGGTATTTGTCTGGCTTGGTGACATGTAAAACTTCCACATTGCTGTTCTCCATCCCCACTGCAAGCCACTCTCCAGTTGGGCAGTAGCCCAGAGAAAAGATCTAGAATTAAAACAGATGATGGTGACAGTGGCCACAGTGGACACACTTCTTTCATCTGGGAGGTACTATCCCTTCTATAGTTACTACTTAAATTATCAAGAAAATCAAGATAATTTGAATTGTACAGGGGAAAACCAAAGTCAAATGGATGATTTCAAAGTAATGAGATTTCAAAGTGGTTAATCCAGAATCAAAAGTGACATCACACGGTAAGTGAACTGCCTCTTCTTTCAGTAGGTGATATGTTTCATAAAACTGTATCTTTTTTATTTTTTTAATTTTGAGACAGAGTCTTGCTCTGTCGCCAGGCTGAAGTGCAGTGGTGCAATCTCAGCCTCCTAGGTTCAAGCGATTCTCCTGCCACAGCCTCCTGAGTAGCCAGGATTTATAGGCGCATGCCACTATGCCCAGCTAAGTTTTGTACTTTTAGTAGAGATGGGGTTTCACCATGTTGGCCAGGATGGTCTTGATTTCCCAACCTGGTGATCTGCCCACCTCAGCCTAAAACCCTATCTTTGAAATGCCTCAGCCACAGATCATACCTGGGAGGTGAAGTCATGCTGCTGCAGCTGCCGCCCCTCACGCAGGTCCCAGGACCTCACCGTGTTGTCCAAACCGCCCGTCCAGAGCTTGGTGCCATCATTAGAAATGTCAATACAGCTGGCTCCGTCCGTGTGGCCCTGGAATTGCCTGAAAATGTCAAAATGGAGGGAAAGCCCTTGAAAAGTTAGCTTTTAGTTAAACTCAATTTAGAATTCCTTGATGATTCAATTTCAATCCAGGCCTTATTTGTAGATTTCATTTTGGTTTATTATGGTTTCTAATTATTCAAAGTAGTAACAAAGCATATATGAAGAGATTAAAGTTTAACGGAGATGCCAAATGTCCTGTACTTTTTGCTTGATTTTGAATACTTAGGAATTCTTCTAATTACTTTTTCATGAAAACATGATTGATATTACTAATGGAAAAAAAAAAATCTGAAATTAACAAAAGGAAACACACCTACACGTACATGAACTAATCAAAGATATATTCTGAGACCTATTCTAACACTGTGCTGTGAGGGAGAGAGTTTAATTTTCCCTTTTAGAAAGGACTGGGGATGGCACAGGGAGCGACAGAACTAGTTCTGCCAATGAGCAGCAATGTGTTTGTGGGTGGCTGTGCAAGACGGAAGGCGAGGCTCTCAAGTAAGGCACCTGGAAAAGATCCTCAGTGTGAACTACTGGCCCAGGGATCACTCATGGCAAAATGTACCAAGGTCACCAGGAGAAAAAAGGGTTAGAAGCAGCTTCACATAAGAGCCTGCCTGATAAGCAATGAAAGTAACGATTTGTTTTGGAATCTATAGGTTTCAGTCCTTTGAAATAACAGACAGTAAAGCCCTCTTCTTTTACACACATGACTTGTAGCTACCTCTGATTACAACCTTTTCATACCCTGTAGCTGATCATTCTACTTGCTTGCTAATCTCTTAGGTATTGACACCTAGAGAATCGTTTCAGAGCTTTTCTCATCTACCAACACCAACCATTTATAATCTCATTTGTAAAGTTTTATCTATCCAACCTCAAAGGTAGGACAACAGATAATCTAGACCATTTCAGAATGAGTTGCACCCAATACAGTGCATAGGCCCATGGGAGTTGCTAAATACCTGCTGAAGGAATGAACCTGTTAGATGTCTATGGCACTCAAGCCAGTACCATACACTGATGTCTATGGCACCCAAGACAGTACCATATACTGTAAATCTTCTCAATGAGGCTCTATCAACAGTAATGGTTTGTTAGCAAACACAGATGGCAAATTACAGATGTCTAAGGAGCTCATGAGGTCATGGAAACCTTATTTGTATTAATTATGTCAAACTGACCTCACTTTGTTAAAACAAATTGGTGATGCTTTAGTATAATGTCAAGGAAGGAAAAAAACCTCATTTTATGAAGTTCAAGTACTATAGAAAACCAGATTTTTATACTGATAATTTGTTTTTAACATCTTAAAATGGACCTGTTCTGAACAATTTTTAGTAAGATATCCCTTTACACACACACATACCGCCCCCCCGCCCCCATACCTACATACACAGTACTTTGGCAAAATATGGTAAAATCGGCTCCTCCTCACAACCTGGTAACAGATCCTGCTAACCTACCTCACCAAGGTCTGGTTGTGCAGATCCCACACAGCGATGTTGCCGTCGCTGCAGCATGAGAAGCAGACCTTGGAATCGGGGCTGATGGCCAGGGCGTAGCAGGCGGGGGCCGAGGATGTCAGCTCTGCCTTGATGCGTGGGGTTGGAGCCGCCAGGTCCCAAATGGACAAAGTACTGGCTTCCCCTCCAACAATTAGGGTGCGACCATCAGGGAGCAATCTGCAGGAACGGATGTAGTTATCCCTGTTCTGTAGAGACAAAAACCATCAAGAGATTACTCATGAGGAAAGGAAAACAGCATTAACATGAGAGCAGAAATCCATAAAAGTATTGTGTTCCCTCCTGGTTTAATGAGCCATTTATACTTATGACAATGATAAAGTGGATTAATGCTAGAAAATTACATGAAATTAGGGAAGTACTTAAACTTGATCTACAAAATGTAGTACTGAGATATTTAATCTTAATTAGCATCAAAATGCAAAGCTCTAGACCCACTCCCACCACCACCAAATTAACCAACTGCTTGCATCATCTGCACACACAGATACACACGTACACTAATGTAGGAGCTCTTACAGTCTTGGAGTATCCAAACCTGGAACCTTGGTAGACTCAGGCTCAGTTCTGCTGCTGAAAGGTCCTGCTACTGATGGCAAGAAAGTTTCAGGGATATCTCCCTGGCAGTCTGTTCCTTTTGCCTGGGCCTGCATTACGTGACTAAAGGGCATCATGCGTTTGATGAAGCTGCACCAGAGGTAAGACTTGATCATGGAGTGTTAAGTAACAGAAAAAAAAAAGTTCCTCCCAGCTCATGAGGTTACGGGAATCTTATGTATATTTAATTATGTTCAATTGATGTAGCCTCATGCTATAGCAAAAATTCTACTAAACTGACATTTCCTAAAGAACTCAAGGGCTAAGGCCAATGTAGCAGCTGAGGGGCTATCTAGTATTTGCCACATGAGGCAGTAAGTTACTCTTTACATGTGACAGATGATATTTAGGTGCACGCTCATAAAGTCACTGGATGGGCTCTTAGTTTGCTTAACCATCAGAGAGGAAAACAAGAGGTTTGTCTTTTCCCATGGGAGGCAGAGTTAATGAAATCAGTATGGTGCACATGCCACACATGAAGAACTAGATCACTGTGTCTCTAGGAAGCAAAAGACATACTCCAAGTGAAAGATCGCAATCCCCTGAAGAGCAACTATCCACCTGATATCAATACTGTGTGGTGTTCTCTCATCAGCTCCTCCTGTTTTCTGAATGAAAGTCTAAGTCTTGTTCATCCATGTTCACTCACCAGACAGTCGAGCTGGGAGACAGGACTCTTATTGCCAGGGTGGCTGATGTCCCAGACCTTGACGCAGCCCTTCCCGCCTGTGTACACGTGTCTCGTGGGGTTGCTGATGGTCACTGCACACACCACCTCCCCGTGGTTGAGGGTGTTGATCTGGCGAGCATGCCGGGGGATTCCGGGTCCGATGAGGGCGTCGGGGGGAAAAGGGACAGGCTGCATCTGACCGTCCGCGCTAACATGGAAGGAGTATGCTCTAAGGCAATGGAGAAGAAAAAAGAAAGAGGGGAATGTAAAAAATGTCCCTTAACTGTTCAGTGTAATGAGATGAGAAATAAACACCTTCAGTGCCACTTGTGATTTACGAACAAATCGAATATACCCATACAGTGTAAAGAACATAATTTCCAGAATCATACAGCTAGGCTGCTACAGAGCTAGATCTCAGGCTGACTCTGTACAAACTGCTGTGAGACATCAGTAGTTACTTAGAATCTCTAAACTGCAGTTCTAATCTCTAAAATGAAGAGAATGCTACCTATACCTCACAGAATTCAATGAGATAACCAATGTCAAGTGCAGCAGCCACCTTCGGGGATTCTCTATAAACTTGCATTGCCTTCTCCTTTGGATGAATCAGAGGCCTGTGATGAGGCCTTGCCTACAGATCAATTTGTTTCAGGCAAGGGACTTACTAAGGGAGATGAGTAGGCCAAAATCAGGAAGCTTTAATGAGTTAAGAGCCTCTAGGCTTAGATGTTGAAATGATAGATGTGAAAAGAAAAAAAAAATGATAAAGTCCTATTTTAAAACCTTGATCAGACTTGACAATCACAAATTCTAATAAATCCAAATGGAATGAGAACCTAAAAAAGCGTCCTGACAGCCCCAAAGGCCTGCCTGTGAGTGAGTATCTCTCAGCAGTTCCATCTCCAGTTCATTTCCAGGGGAAGCCCTCAGGTGGTGAAAGCATTTGGTTCTAAAATGCAACTTAAGTAAGAGCATCTCCCTCAACACACTCATTTTTATTTTTAGGGCACTGAAGTCAGGAAGGGGCGAGTGGGGCTATTGTGATGCATGTTTCTGGAAGCAAAAGACACCACAGGCAGGCAGGAGGCAGCTGGGCCTATACTGGGGACTATCATAGGCAACAGCCCATTTTGGAAACAATGCTATTCTACTTGGGCACGGAGCTTGGGAATCTACTCCGCTTATGGAAAGTAGTTTACAAAAGACACACCAAGGGAAAGCATTGTGGGTGCACAAAGGACAGGAGGCTGGACCAAACTGCGGAAGCTGTAGAATTAAATTAAAAGTTTATCGTTCCTTAATGCAAAAATTTACAGGCCGGCCACATTCATCAAAATTCAGTCCATTATCGAATGGTCCTCAACTACCTGAATGTTCCCAGAAAAAACGAAGCATGCATTGAGGCTGTGGAAGATGAAGGCACCAGACAGTGGCAGGCTTACTTCCTCTGCAGATGACAGAGTGTTGTAGAAGAACATAGTACGTGAGACTTGCTGGAGGGGAAGGATGTGGGAAGCTAGGAAGCCAATGGACAGAAGACGTTTCTTGCAACAAATCAACAGGACTTGGAGATACACTGGATGGGTGACCTGAGAGAGAGATGCTGAAGAGGACCCCAGGGCTTAGAACCTGGGTGACCAGGTAGACTGCATTACCTAGTGAAGATGACAGGGAAGCATAACTCAAGGGTACACCTACAGGTAGGGGAAGGAATTGGTTTTCTTGAACTTTAGGGCAGAAATCCAAACAGCTATGATTCAGGAGAGAGGTCAGGTTAGAAATCATCCATAAAGAAGTGATGTCTGAAGCTAAGGGGACGGAAATAAGAATCCCAGAGCAGATTATGCTGTGAGAAGCAGACCAGATACAGAATCCCAAAGAATGTGGACATTTAAGGAATCTCCAGCCAGAGTAGTCATGGAATTAAATTATTAGTAGAGATAATAAAATAGAAAGGGGGAGAAGATGTTCAATCACATGACAATTTACTAAGATTCATTCACTTAACACACATTTCTTGAGTATCCCAGTGTGCCAAGCACTACGGTAAGAATGGAATAAGAAAGAAATGCACACACCTTGTTCTCCTGAAGTTACAGCCTGAGGGGCACATTCATTAGTGAGATACGCACATAAATAACTATCAAAATGTCAGATGGTCAGTGTGATGAACAATGCATGGTAGTCTAGGAATTTGACAGAGTGAAAAGGACAGAGGAAATGGCAATGCGGCTGCAATATTAAGAATGGGTACAAATTGTCTGAAGATAGTATGATGATTAGGAGTATGGCAAATTCAAAGGCCAGAGCAAGAGCACATGCTAATTATTCATTTATTCAGCAAATACTTCCTAAATGCCTCGTATGTTCTAGTTACCATCAGGTGCTGGGAAATCAGAGGTGAACAATACCGACAAAGTCCCTATCCTTACACTAATCTACATCCTAGAGGGGAAAACAGGTAACAGATAAATATAAATAAGTAACCTCAGACAGTGGAAAATAACATTAAATATACACACACAGTTTCAGATAAAAGAGAGTAGGGGTGCACAGAGTGGCCGTCAGGTGGCCCTCTCTGAAGAGGCAGCATATGGGCTGAGAGCTGAAGGAATGACATAGGCCTTACAAATAAGTAATGGGGAATGTGCCAGGCAGAGGGAACGGCAAATGCAAAGGCTTTGACCAGAAATAAGCAAGGAGGCCAGAGTGCATTCGGTGGAGAGCATATAGGATATGAAGGGACAGGTAAGGCCAAACTAAAAAGGGCCATGTAGGCCATGTGATGAGTACTAATATGAATCTGGAGACTTGTGCAAAAAAAAGTGACATGATTCAGTTAACGTCTTCAAATGATCTTCTGATTGCTGGGTGAAGAATGGAGTGTAGGTGGCAAAAGTCTGGGGACTACACAGTAATCCAGGGGAGAAGAAGTGGCTAGAGCTGGGGAGACAGTGGTAAGTTGGAAATAGAACGTGGAGCACTCTGGCTGACTGGAGCCACAGTAGGTTGTACTGGATGGGATGATTAGAATTTGGAGGGGACACAGGGGTGATGACAAGCTCTTCTTTGTGAACATGTAAATACAGGTAACTGAAGGTGAGGAGGGCAGATGTTCACTAGAGATGAGGGGGTCCAAGACCACGATGAAGATGTTGGGGGGTTGTCTTAGTAGATACCAGAGTCAACCAGGTTTACGGCAGCCTCTGGGTGGTGGCAGACTCTCAGCCGTGTATCAAGTCTTTAATACACTGGGGAAATACTTCCAACAAGGTGGAGGAGGAGGTAGTCCGATGGCAAGAGCCTGAAAGGAGCAAAGTTTTCATCAACAGGTAGAAAAGTTCTGTTCTTGGCAAGGCTGGGGAAGGGGTGGCAACCACAGCTGTTATTAATCCCACTGCTGGTGCTGAGGTCAGCGAATGAAATGGAAAGGTCACCCCGTATGGAGCTGCAGGTGAAGGGGTGACCTCAGGAGACGGCCAGATTTCAGTTCAGACAAGGAGAAGGCGGCAGTAATGCTCCTTAAAGGCGGGGGTTCTGAGGGATGATGACCGAGAAAAAGGCTAATTGATTTAGCAATTAGGAGGTCATGAAGACTAAATCTTAAAGGAAGGGAAAGGAAGATTATTTCAAGTTTAGATGGTGTTATACATTCTTAATGATAATTTATTAGGAAAGTCATCTCATTCTCTAGTCTAGAATCACTAAATGGTTTTTAAAGAGCACTGATATTTTAAATAGTTAAGAAACCAGGCACACCATTTCCTTCAAGGTCTTCAACAGGACAGCCTTCACCTCAATCACAACCACTCTGTGAGCACCTACTGTGTTCCCGGAAAGAGTCCTTTCAAGAGTCCAGATAATTCCAAGAGCCTGCTTTCATTAATGTGGCCCTCTGTTCGCTATTAATACACATAGAAGGCACTCAGAACTGGCAACAATAAAGCTCTAGTACATACTTATTAAATATCAGATTTCGATAGACTCTTTGACTGTAACTAGCAAAGACTCCTGGAAGGTATGAGGGAAGTCAACACAGCTAGGAATCAGCGAAACCCAGGCCCAAAGGACTATTCTGTTTCTAACGAATTTAATGCAACAATATATTAAGTATCTCCCATCCCTATACTCTGACGCAAATGTCATGCTAAGGATACAAAATTAGGTAATGCACCTGGTCTTGCCCACAAGTGACTAACAATCTAGTTAGCATGATGAGAGAAAAGTACAGAAGTGACTACAATATCAGGTCACATTGGAATGGAAAGTATTCTGAAGTGTTTTGAAAAGGAAAGATAGAGCTTATGTTGCATGAGAGAGAGACATGGTAATAGAAATGGGTTTTTACAGCGTGAAAAGATATCATCAAGTAAAGACAAAGATGGAAAAAATATTCCAGATAGCAAGAATAGCAGAGAACAAAAGTCCCAAAAGGATGAGGTGAAATGAGCTGGTTTTAATCCAGGAATTCATTCAATAATAACCACACAGTAGGTGGATAGAGGAACTGGCCAAGCATAGTCTGAAAAAACATACCAGATCTATATCTCTATATAATTAAATCAATGTAATGCTATAAAAGGGAAGGACCAGAATGCCAGCCTCAGACCTTCCCAGAATTGACTGAAGGGATTTTTGAGGGATAGAGGGAGTGTGCCATTACTGGGCAAAGCTATTCATAAAATCAACTTAGTAGCAAGGAGTAGGATGGACAGGAGGAATTAAAAACAATTATTCCTGTTGGGCGTGGTAGCTCACGTCTGTAATCCCAGCATTTTGGGAGGCCAAGGGGGATGGATCACTTGAGGTCAGGAGGTCGGAGACCAGTCAGTGAAACCTCATGTCTACTAAAAATACATAAAAATTAGCCAGGCATGGTGGCGTATGTGCCTGTAATCCCAGCTACTTGGGAGGCTGAGGCATGTGAATCATTTGAACCCAGCAGGTAGAGGTTGCAGTGAGCTGAGATTAAGCCACTACACTCCAGCCTGGGCAACAGATCGAGACTCTCTCTCAAACAACAACAACAACAACAATTATTCCAACAATTGAAATAAGAGGTACTGGGGGGCCCGAACTAGACAAGGGCAAGGATGACAAGTTAGAAGGTACAGTGGACATAAAATCCTATAGAACTAAATTGATGAGATGTGAGGAGGAGCTAGAGTAACTGAGTTTCTGAGCTCAGGAAAAAAGAAACGTGGTACTTGTAGTTACCAAAAAAGTGGCAAACTGGGAAGAGGACCTAATTTACAAAAGTACTTTCTGGATATAATGAATTTGTGGTGCAAGTAACATACACTGAAGATCCCTAGCTAAGATGCCCAACAAATAACCAGAAATACAGGGCTGGAGGGAGAGAAATAGAGTGACCTGAACTCCTCTCAACACAAACATACACCCCTCAAGTTAAGCTGCTACAAGCAAAGAGTGGCTCTCCAACAAACATGGCGAGGAGAATAAGAGACAGGTGAAGAAAATGCTAGGCTTGGACTTTCTGACATAATTACACTTTGAACAATCCAGACACATGCAATTTGCTTTTTTAAAAACATGTGTATCAAACTCATTATATATGGATTATCATCTTGACAAAGACCCTGCATATTTAAAGAAGGTTGCTGGCTTTTCTACCTTCCCCTCATTCTCCTCTCTGAGGCCCAGTTCTGCTGTGCTGTGCTCATCTCTCACGTGCACAACACCTTCTCCACATTTCCAATGTGTCACAAGATGGGATTCGACCTTGAGGTCACAACGAGGTCTGGTTATTGTATTTTACATTGACGTATGATAGAAAACCTTGGTTCTAAGTAGCACACAGACCGGTTATTGTATTTTACATTGACGTATGATAGAAAACCTTGGTTCTAAGTAGCACACAGACCAGAGTTAGCCAACAAACACTTGTTGAAGGTTTTTACCATGTATCAGGCATTATTCTCATTTGAAAATCTTGCTTTATAAAAATAAACCAATGCAAAAGAGTCAGATTTCTGAATTGTGAGCAGCCTATAATCCACTAACCTGAGATCTTTTATTTTTGCTCTGTTCACATGTCATATCCCATAAAATTAGTACCGTGATTTTAATCAAATACTTATACACTAGCCATAGAAGTCTCATTTGAGTAGCAGGTGAAGGAGAAAGGCCATTTTTGGCTTATGTTGAAATTAAACTATGTTGTCATTCCAACTATATACGGAGTAGAACCTCTGCTAGTTCACCTGGACAAGAGTACTCAATGAGAATTATATAATAAACACCATTTTATTAATTTGGAACATGCATTTAATTATAATTTCTGATAATATTTAGCAATTCATTGTGTGAAATAATTAGAACAGAGACGCACAACTTTTATAAGTCTTTCTGGAGAAAGGTAGTTACATTGTGGGTATGTGTGATGGAGGAGGATGGATGATTTTTTGTTTTACTTTCTAGCACACTTAAAGTTTTGTTTTGGAAAATATGCACAAGACAACGTTGCACAATTCTGTATCTTATGATCTGGAGAGCCACATAACTGTTATATTCATTTCTGCTATAAAAATCTATAATAAAAGTATATTATCTCTATGTGCATATAAGTCAATATAACTTTATATGCCTTCATGCTCTGTTACATAAAGACACACCAATGACCCATCTTCTTGGGTCACTTCTGCCTCTAAAACACACTGTACCTCCTATTACATAAGTAGCTGAAAAATGGATAATATGCTGGGACAAAGCTGAAAGGGAAATCAGGCTGGGGTTGACTAAACAGCCACCATGTAACAAATGTGGCACTCAATGAACACACAACATATTATCTTACTTCCTATCTTCACATCCTTCTTGTTGAGGAGGTGCCATCCCTGATTCAGTGAGCTGACTGAAGCTCACAAAGAAACTGTGCATAAAGCCACTCCTCTCAGTGGAGAGAAGAGTCTAAATTCAACTGGTGGAGTCTAAATTCAAACTGGGATCTGTCACACTCCCAAAACCATACTCTGTTGACTGCACCACATGCTTTTTGGTAAAGTGTCATTTTCCTGGTAAAGTGTCATTTGCCAATTGCAGTATATGTGACTGTCACTCTCATAAACACAAATTATCAACAATCCTCTAATCCATTAACCCACCCAAAATGATCTTAAACATTTAAACATTTTATAAAACCAAAAGTCAAAACTGATGAAGGGAAGTCAGCTCAAGACTCAGAAGCATGACCTGAGTCAGAGCAGCTGTGACTCCACAGTGGTTTAACTGGTCCAAATCCCCTAGGCAAGGTGTTTCCTTAAAGACACTTACACCCCTTGCGCCTCAAAGCAGCAGCTGAGGCAAGAGGCATCATCTCATTCACTCTAGTGGTTATGCTGTAGCTCTGGGTACAACTGTTGGTTACCTAAGAAGTGACCATAAAAAAGGGACAGTACTTCTTCCCTAAAGGAACCCTTCCACTTTCCCCACAGGTTCATATGGAACTTGTAGGTATCTGGGTCATTATTTGATTAATCGTACTACCTTGTTATTTAGCACTGCTTGAAACAGACCCAATTTTCACTTTCAAATACTTTCAAAATGTTTAGGATTTAATGGTATCATACTTGAGGGTGGAACATAGATTAAAAAATTATACTAATGATTACTGAAGCTCATGGTAAAACCAAAGAGTTCTTGGTCAATAAGCGTTGTCAGTCAGTCAACAACTATTTGCAAAACACACACAGGTACACAGAATTTTATGGTAACTGATGTTCATACCTTCAACTCTCGAGGAACTCTAATTTGTCTTTTCTGCCCTATTAATCAGTCAAATATTTACCAAGCAACTTGGCTATGGAGCCAACACTGTGTTTGATGCAACAAGGAAGGTTAGGGTAGAGTCTGTGGAGAAGTATTAATACGTTACAAAAGGAAGAACTGAGATTCGGATTCCTCAGATGGAAAGTAAAGAAAGGGTCTAGGTTAGGCAACACTGAAGGGATGTGGGGAGAAGAGGGCACGCAATTAACACCAGGGTGAAAACTAGGTGCCCGAGTGTGAGGGAGTGAATCAACAAGCAATGGGAGGTCCGAGAAGAGAGACCTGCACACAATCCGTTCCCTGAACAAACCCATACTGTGAGCACCACTACGAACCAGGTGCCATTCTAGGCAGTGAGACTACTTCTATAACCGAACAACAGAAAGCTCTGTTCTGCTTTCATGGAACTTATAGGCAAGAGGGAGAGGCAAAAAATGGCTATAAATAAGCATTAAAAAGGTAGCAGAACAGGAGAGAATAATACGGAGGAAGGGAGAGAGGGATAATAGGGCTGTCAGGGCAGAACGCTCTGACATAATGACATCTTAGATAACTAAATGAGACACTAAGCCACAAAGTTTTGCAGGAAGAAGGACAGTAAGAACAAAATGCCTCAAGGCAGGCAAGCTACCAGGGAAGCCTCTGGGAGAAGGGGCTTTGAGCTGCTACTGAGGGTCAGGTCTGGATAGCCCTGGAGACTGGGGAGGCAGCACATATACGGCACGTGTAGTGATAGAGGGGATGCCCACGGACAGAGTGATGAGAATAAATGCACACACACAGGTGACTAACAAGGCCACGGAGGATCTGTGGGGGAGGCTTCCCAAAGGAGAGGAGAGAGAAAGCAGCCAGCTGGGATTTTAAAGAAAGAGCCAGTGCTACTTTATAGTAAAATCTTTGTTTCTAGGAAGATGAAGCCAATTAGCAGAGACAACTGTGACTAGGTAGTAATAAAAAGGGGCATTAGATTAAAATAAAGTATTTGGAATGAGATCTGGTGAGAGATCACAATATAAAAGAGGAGGCTAGAACAACTGGTGTGTTGTGTTTTGTCTTTCCTAACTCAAGGAATCTGTGAATACAGAGGCTCCAGATGCCCACAGCACATTATAAGAAGCCAACTGAGCAAGTCACCTTTTCTGAAAACAGAACTTAGCGTAAGAGTGCCCTTATTTCCTTTCAGCTTTTGAAGTTTGGCATGTCTTTTCCCAACATATTCAAATTTTGAACATCCAGGTTTGCACATAATAATCAGACTTTTGGAACAAAGAATTGCCTTGAAATCCGCAACAGATGTAGAGAAGACCTTACATCTGTAAGACTGGAGATGCTTCTGCAATTTGCATTTACATATTAAAGCTCAAAATTTTACCCTGCAAAACCCCACTTCATTACTTCCCTTCTTGTGCTAAGAGAAAATGAAAAATACCTTGCTAGGTAAAAAAATACGAGTCATGGGAACTCCCTCAACACCATCGAGTGGTACTCAAAGTCCAAGGGGTCAGCAAGGGACCTGAGTTTGACACACAATGAGTACAGAGGCAAAAAGGTACTCACGGTTTTCCTCCTGGAATGCCTGTCAGGTTTGGAGGTATTGCTGGCACACGCATGTGATGGTGTGGATCAAATCCCACCTATAATTTTTCCCAAGCAAACAACACAAATAAGCACAGTTACATGCGACTTGTTTTATCCTTCTCAAAATCTATTCTAAAACCTGGTAGAATAGATCCTTAAAAAATAAGGTTTCAGAGATATATACACAGAAGTATTCACTGATAAAATGATAAAATGTTTAGGATTTAATGGTATCATACTTGAGGGTGGAACATAGATTAAAAAATTATACTAATGATTACTGAAGCTCATGGTAAAACCAAAGAGTCATTACATTCATTATACTATGTGATCTACTTCTGTAGGTCTGAAATTTCCAAAATTAGTATCATTTTGGAAAATTTAAAATTAGTATTCTTTAAAAAATACATATAAAATAAAAAAGAAACTTCCTCACCTTACAAAAGAAAATGGATCTGAAGATATAATTACATGTAGCTTAATTTATAAATACCCACAGATCTCTAAATACCTTAGATTTATAAATTACATTAAAAAATACATAGGCCAGGCATGGTGGCTCATGCCTGTAATCCTAGCAGTTTGGGAGACTGTGGCAGGCAGATCACATGAGGCCAGGAGTTCGAGACCAGACTGGGCAACATGGTGAAACCCCGCCTCTACGGAAAATTTTAAAAATTAGCTGGGCATGGTGGCGCATGCTGTAGTCTGAGCTACTTGGGAGGCTGAGGTGGGAGGATCACTTAAGCCTGGGAGGCGGAGGCTGCAGTAAGCCAAGATCATGCCACTGCACTCCAGCCTGGGTGACAGAGTGAGACCCTGTCTCAATCAATCAAGCAATCAATCAAGCATGACAATCCTCTGTGTGCTAAAATATTATTTTGTGAAGCTCACAAACGCACCACTGGTGATCTCCCATAGGCAGCAGCCGCAGCGGCGGCAGCAGCAGCTGCGCTCATCTGAGGGGAGATGTTGTGGAGCCCAGCATAGGCCGCTCCGGGGCTGGTCAGCTCTCCATTCATTCCAGCATGGGGCACGATTCCAAATGGAGTGGGATATGGACAGGGTACTGCCATTGGGGTCCTTAGGCTTGAGGCTGCAAACCAAAATGGATGGAAGAAAAATGAAGAACACAGGAAACAACAGTGAAGACATTTGTAAACATGTCAAAAAATAGAATCTATGGTTCAAATGAGCTTATTTTAATATTCTCAAAAGTCATTCAAGCCTTCAGAGTTCATGCATTCACTCTGTTCTACTGAACACTTACCATGTGCCAGACAAGGTTGGTCCCAGGTGCTCAGTTCAGGTTAAGTAACTTTGTCTAACAGCCATTCAATGCTGGTCATTAGCACTTTAAATGTACTGTACTCTTTAAATTATTTAAAAACAAGCATAAAAACATAAAAAACACTTTTTTCTTACTAACCCAAAGGGTCAACTCCTGGTGGTTTTCCAGGTACAGGCCTCAATCCGGGAGTAGAGTTACTGCCTGGGGTGGGCGCATCAGTTCGTGGAGTAGGGGTATTGGACTTTGAAACAGGAGTAGTAGATTTTTCATTCTAATGAGATGAAATGACATGTACCAGCAATTAGAACATGGTTTTAACAATGACTTTAAACATTAAAAAGGTAAAGAAAAGGAAGGGAGGAAAAAAAATGAAAGAGGTTCTTCAGCTTGGGCCTTGATTTTCATTAATAGAAACGTTAACAAAGAAACAAAAGAGTTCCTTGAGACCGCAGACCTAATATTTGGGAAGACATAAACTAAAGCTGAATTTTGAGGAGAGTAGCTCATTTCTAGGAAATTGGTCTGAGTCAGATAAGGCTCACAAACCAGGATGTCCTAACTGTGGCCACTTGCCGGTGGCTTTGGTAAAGATTGGGGTAACTTTGGGCTCCTGGCAGAATGTTCATGTCACAAGAGGCTTCCTGGTGAACAGGTCACATTAGAAAACAGATCCAAGTCTGAACTGTCATAGATACCAAGCAGAGAGCAGGTGCCATTAAAAGAATTCCAGAAGGCCAAAAGAAAATAAAATAAAATTTAAAAAACCCAACAATCTAGCCCTCTGTCGGACATATTCCCCCTAATTTGCAGAGCAACTGAGGAATTTCCTTTCCTTTAGCTGTGAATTCCGGAGGTTATTAGAAAACTGAATTTGTCTTTTTATTCTTTAAATGTTATGTTACAAGGAAATAACTGGTGAGGAAAAAAGACACGCCACACAAAATTGCAATTAACTACACAGCCACAGAAGAATAGGGTGCAGGGAGATTATCCTGATGGGTGAGCAGTTCATTTTTGCATTTGTGATTTGTGATGTGAGTCAAGGTAGACTTTTGTAAATGACAGATTACTTTTTAGATAGGAAGGGAAAATTATTGCAGTCATATGTAGCTTGGTAATTCAAACAAAGCTAGCAACAAAATCACATTCAAGCCCCAAACTAAATTTACCATAAACCACAGGCGACAAAACCATCTCTGTAACCCAAGTGTGCATTTTTCATCTTCGCTAAGACGTGTTTCACTCAATTTCCCCATATCCCTCTTCTATCCTTGCAAAAAGAATCACAAAATAAACACTCATCACCAACAAGTCAGTAAACTTATTCTGCTCTACATACTTTTGCCAATTAAACGTAAATACTGAACATATATATACACTTGGAAATAAAAGTCCTGTAAAAAATGTGAGAAATATAAAGATAAAAACATCAAATTCAAACATCAAATTGGCAGGGGCCACACTCAGAGAGATGGTAAGGAGCTACTTACAAGGCTAAGTTCTTTGGATTTGGAGGAGGGAGTACTGCTGGAAGATGCAATAGAGGCTGGACTAATCGGGGCATCTTTCTTGAGCAGGCGTGTCTTGTCCAGGCCATTCTCTCTCGGGGAATGTGCTGGGCTCCCTCGAGGGGAAGATGGATCCTACAAAGGGACATCATGGATAGTAATGCAAGCACAGCCCATTTACAACGCTGGGGTTGTTGGGTGTGGACATTTCTAGCCAAAAGCATTTAATGCATGCTTAGAAGCACAAATGTGCTAGAACAGATAACAATACTCACTGAAACTACTAACGAAAATATTCAGTATTGAGGGCCCCCAAGTTATAGTATTTATAGTACTTATTTAAAACCCAAAGAAAAATCAAAACCCCACCCATCTGCCAATTGCACGTCAACGAGACCTGCAGGCTGACCACAGAGATCTGGTGTGCCTTCACTGTGGTAGAGAAGACACTTTACTCTTCATAGAAAAGAACAGCGACCAAAAAAAAAAAAAAAAAAAAAAAAAGAAAAGATCAATAACATAAAATCAGTAGTATATAATTTTTATGTAAATAAAAAGTGGGTCCCTTTAGAAATCACGAATATGTTTTGGGCCGGGTGCAGTGGCTCACACCTGTAATTAATCCTAGCCCAGGAGTTTGAGCCCAGCCTAGGTAACATAATGAGACCTCATCTCCACAAAAAATTTAAATATTAGCCAGGCATGGTGGCGTGTGCCTGTAGTTCCAGCTACTCGGGAGGCTGAGCAGGGAGAATCACTTTAGCGTAGGAGTTCAAGGCTGCGGTGAACTGTGGTCGCAATACTGTACTTTAGCCTGGGCAACAGAACAAGACCCTGCCTCAAAATACAACAACAACAACAACAAAATGACAAATCTCAAAATATTTTGGATACTAATTGTTTGGACAACTAGTCTTTGATATGGCTGGACAAGGGCAGAAAATTAAAGTAGCCACGAACATACCTCATTGGAAACATCAACCACCAAGTTGTCATCACTTTTCTCACCATCGCTGTCCTGCATTGACAAGTGAGAAGCATTATCTTCTCCCCCCACAAAATATACCACATTTACCCTAAATAAGTCCAGACTAATTCCTCAGATCTTATAAAGATGAGCTGAACCAAAGAGTGTTAAATACTTGACAATGTCCTATTTTCTTTAATCCTCATGATGATGCTATGAAGGTGGGTAATATGATTATATTCTTCAGATTATGAGACTGATGCACTGCCCACTGCACCAACAGGGTGACCTGATTATATTTTTCAGTTTACAAAACTGAAGCTGATGGTTGGCTTATTACTCTAGAGTAGAGGCTGCAAACTGACAGGCCCAGGCTACATCCAACCTACACACAGGTGTGGTCTGGTTTGTCAGTATTTTAAAAAACTGCATATTGGGAGGTAAAAATCTAGATTTTCAGCTTTTCATGAGGCCTGAAGCCCTGTGGGACACCAGCAGGGAAGCAGAACAGGGGCCGCCTGCCTCCACACTGCTCCATCCAGCTTGCTCTCCGCTTTCACTCCTGTGACCTGCCCAGCCACTAGAGGAAAATGAGCTTCATTCCAGGCTAGGGATGATCTTGGATGTCTCTCCATGTTTTATTCCACAAGATTTGGTATATCCTTCAGCACATGAATCCATCTAGGCATTTAAACACATTTTTTATGATTTTATATTTTTTCCTTAACAATTCTAGCTAACCACAGAAAATCCAACCACTCTGAAATAAATGGGGAAGCAAATACACCTACGGAAACAATAATATGGATCATTCAGATCTTCTGTTAGCTGCCCAAATGAAGCAGTCTATCCTCACATGCACCTGTACACACACAGGACTTCAGTTAGCCAATGGCTACAGAGCTATAAAAGCAACAAATGTTTTTTGTCTCCTAAAGGATGTTATCGTGTGTTCCTGTGTTGGCTGGAAACAGTCAAAGGGTAAAATAGCTGCAGATAAAAAGGCAAGCTGGCCTCCCCTAAAGCAAAGGTGAATGAACTTACATAACGAGCTGCAATTTCCTTTTCTTCAGTTTTCTGTTTTTTGCTCTCTGAGGAGTAGTCTGTGGAGTTTCTGTGCTTCTCAGCACCTCGGAAACTGGCTGATGGGGATACTGAAGAGCTCTGGAATTAGAAGGAGAGGAAGCATGGTTGAGAAATTATCATCCATTTAGTCGAATGATTTGTAAGTCACTTGAGACTTTCTTTTCTTTTTGTTCTTTAGTACATACTTGCAAAGCTGTTAAGAGGAAACAGGAGAGAGCAGAGGAGACGAAAGGAGGAAAACAGGGATCTAAAGGGAAAGACAAGTAGCAAAAGACAAGGGGGAAAGATAATGGGAAAGAAAGAAGAAGAGAGAAGAGGCAGAGAGATGGGACAGAAGGAGGAGAGGAATTCAAAAGGGTGGCAGGAGTTAGTGTCAACTCAAAACAGAGAATGGGTTGGGTTTTACGGATATATTGTACTGTTGAAAGTTGGGAAAGGGGCTGGGCATGGTGGTTCACACCTGTAATTCGAGTACTCTGGGAGGCCCAGGTGGGTGGATCACGAGGTCAGGAGGTAGAGACCATACTGGCCAACATGGTGAAACCCCGTCATTACCGAAAAGACAAAAAAATTAGCCAGGCGTGGTGGCTGGCGCCTGTAGTCCCAGCTACTCAGGAGGCTGAGGCAGGAGAATCGCTTGAACCCAGGAGGCAGATGCTGCAGTGAGCTGAGATGGAGCCACTGCACTCCAGCCTGGACAACAGAGTGAGACTCTGTCTCGAAAAAAGAGAAAGAAAGAAACTTGGGAAAAGAAGCATATATGAGAGAAAAGGGAAAGAGAAAAAGTCAGGCTTTTTTAAAAATTTATTTTATTTTTTTAAAGTTTGCTGGCTAATGGGAAGCCAGCATTTCAAGCTTCTACAGAGAAACTATAAAGCAGAGCTTTTAAGAGGTAGTAAGTCAATGAAAAAAAGGGGGAAGTAATTTTGGGGGATTTGAGCAACCAAAGATGGTGGTCATGTGACATATAGGTCGTATTTATGAAATTTTGCTCAGCGCCACATATTAGGGCTTGGAAGATGCAGAGTGGCAGGAAAAACACCACCTGCAAAAATGCATATTATTCCTTTCTCACTCCCATAGTTTTCATGAACCCACTCCTTTTAATGTCTGGAAACCTAGCAATGCCGCTGGGGCCAGGGAATGGAGAAAGATCCTCCACGCCTCTTGGGATCACACTTAGGCTCAGCCTGTATGTTCCATCTCTGCTTTCAAGGAGCTCTCAACTGGAGAAGTCTCCTACACACACGAGAGACATGGGTGACAAGATCCGAAGCAGAGAATGACTCTATCTGCCATGAAGGTCAGGTGGTTATTGGGCACATTTAGATAATATGAGAGCTTAAAATCATGGATGAAGCAGTGAAAAAAGTGCCACTGAAAACTGGATCTAATCTTAACAATTACCTAGTGCCTATGCTTCAGACAGACCAAAGAAAAGATCTAAATGCAGGCGAGGTGGGAGAGGGGGAGCTGGGCTGAGGGTCGTGCTATCCTGCTGAGTGGTGAATGGCAAAAAGCTGAGTAGCACAGTCCCTTGGCAGGGCACCAGGGCAGGGCTCCCAAATGTGAATGACCCTAACCCAGGGTAAGAACGGGCTGATCTTGGAGGGCAGTAGAAAGAATATCTGAAAATCTCCATGGAAAAAAAGTTATAGGAAAAACAATCACCAGTGGAACGTCTCTGTGTGGCACGCAAATCAATTCAGAAAACTGGCCAGGAAGGCTCTTCCTCGTTTACAAATTCATTTCATGTAAGACGAACTCTTTGAACTCTTTTTTTTTTTTTTGCTTTAAGTCTGTTGGTAATAACTGACATTTATAAAAACATACAACATTTACGAGGGTCTTTTAATTAACTACGGGAGAAAGTGTGTTATCCAGAACTTTTGGGTCTATGTTCCATTTTATTTCCACTGAGCCATAATGTCACAGTCTCTTTTGTGGCACTTCTGAACTTTCAAAGCACATTGTTAGGAGACGAATAGGCCTTCTTCATACCTGTGGTGATGGCAACACTATTATGAGCTCCAAAGGTGCGCAGGTGGGAGTTTGGTGGGGGAGAGAGATGGGACCAATGAGTGGGTACCCACTGGGAGGGGCTGGGGACCTCTAAATCCTTCCCTGCTGTGCCAGCCCCTCTTCAGGTTTTATATGAATACTCTATCCCTATCAAACATTCAACTTTAAGCTTAGTGGCAGAAAAGACTGCAGGCATTGTTCAGTAAGGCTGAAGATTGACACAAAACATTACGAGCCAAACGATTTTTTAAAGTGGACTACTTCTTGACTTTTGTGTATATCTGCTGAGTTCCAAACCTCACTCCCAAGCCATGAGACTTGGGTCAGCACTTCTGCTTTGCTTTCCCACAACTCAGTGCACTCAGCAGGTTTTCAGACCACCGAAACCATGCATGCAACCATCATCTGTGGGTTACTATCTACCATACTTCATGCCTCAATCCCATGTCTAGTTTTCCCCTCTCCACTCTAACTACCTCACTTCTGGAATTCATACTACTCAAAGAGAGGTTCAGCCTGTTCTTACTTCTTTTTTAAAAGGACAGTTTCCTACTGTTTACAGGGGGAAAAAAAAATCCCAAATTTCTGAGTATGGTTGTTTTCCAAAAGTCTTCACTCCACACCCCAATCCAGAGTCCCGGCCTTGTATCCTACCATCAGCACTATAAGCCAGTGTTCCCCTGGGCTCTGCGTATTTTCATTACATCTGTAGCCTTTTTTCCTGGCTTATGGCAATGCCTATTTTCTCAAGATCTATCTTTTGAAATCCCCCACTATCCTTAAGAATCAGCTCTAATGTCACTTTTCAAAGCTTCCTCAGATGCTGTCAGGCAGAATTAATCATTCATTCCTCTTTGTTCCCTTAACATTTTGTTCCTCCAATGAGTAAAGCACTCACAATAAATTTATTGCTGTGTTTACAAGGCCACTTCCCACTTCAGGCTGTGGGCTCCCTGAGGGTGGGAGCACCTAGCATCAGGAGCAGAAGAGAACTGCCCAGAAATATTTCTAACACAAATGGCTGAACATCCCCTCTGCACACCTCAATCTCACTCCAAATCTCTTATGATACATTTCTTTTCTGAGCATCACTAGGATGAACAATTCCACGGGAGACCATTCACTAGAGTAAGATTTGTGTGGTAGTGCCCCTGAAATTGGTAATATGGCAATTCAGCCCCTTCCTCACCTTTGCTATTTTACCTACCGTTTAGATGCACTAAATCTGGCTAATCTGATATTTCACAAAAAGAAGAAAAGTAGAGTGTATGTATCTTTTATTAATAATTCTCTGAGCATTCAGATTCTGCTATATTCTATTGAAAGTTGTTTCCACATTAAGAGGAAAAATTTCTAAACAAAACAATTTCTTAAAAATACTAAAAGGTCTTTGCCCATGCCTATGTCCTTCATGTCTAAAACACCAAAAGCAACAGCAGCAAAAGCCAAAATTGACAAATGGGATCTCATTAAACTAAAGAGCTTCTGCAAGGCAAAAGAAACTACCATCAGAGTGAACAGGCAACCTACAGAATGGGAGAAAATTTTTGCAATCTACTCATCTGACAAAGGGCTAATATCTAGAACCTACAAAGAACTCAAACAAATTTACAAGAAAAAAACAAACAACCCCATCAAAAAGTGGGCAAAGGATATGAACAGACATTTCTCAAAAGAAGACATTCATACAGCCAACAGACACATGAAAAAATGCTCATCATCACTGGCCATCAGAGAAATGCAAATCAAAACCACAATGAGATACCATCTCACACCAGTTAGAATGGCGATCATTAAAAAGTCAGGAAACAACAGGTGCTGGAGAGGATGTGGAGAAATAGGAACACTTTTACGCTGTTGGTGGGATTGTAAACTAGTTCAACCATTATGGAAAACAGTATGGCGATTCCTCAAGGATCTAGAACTAGATGTACCATATGACCCAGCCATCCCATTACTGGGTATATACCCAAAGGATTATAAATTATGCTGCTATGAAGACACATGCACACGTATGTTTATTGCAGCACTATTCCCCCAATAGCACGTATGTTTATTGCAGCACTATTCACAATAGCAAAGACTTGGAATAAACCCAAATGTCCATCAGTGACAGATTGGATTAAGAAAATGTGGCACATATACACCATGGAATACTATGCAGCCGTAAAAAAAGGATGAGTTTGTGTCCTTTGTAGGGACATGGATGCAGCTGGAAACCATCATTCTTAGCAAACTATCACAAGAACAGAAAACCAAACACCGCATGTTCTCACTCATAGGTGGGAACTGAACAATGAGATCACTTGGACTCGGGAAGGGGAACATCACACACCGGGGCCTATCATGGGGAGGGGGGAGGGGGGAGGGATTGCATTGGGAGTTATACCTGATGTAAATGACGAGTTGATGGGTGCAGCACACCAACACGGCACAAGTATACATATGTAACAAACCTGCACGTTATGCACATGTACCCTACAACTTAAAGTATAATAATAATAAATTTAAAAAAAATACTAAAAGGTAATGCCTATTTAGATTTTTATGTTCATTTATTGGCTTATATGTACAACCAAATACTTCATATTTTTCTTAAGCTAGCTGTTTCTGGTTGTGCAGGCAGCGTTATATTTTTGAATTTGTAGAACAGAGTTACATGTTGGAGTTTCCTGGTAGAATGATAAAGTAGTTAATTATCACTAGCATTTAAAGGTTAAGCTGCACAATGGGCACCGGGGCAATCAGCAATGTTCTAATAACATAATTACTCTGGAATCAAATTGGACTTGGCACAGACTCTCATCATGAATCTTGTAAGTCCACCATTCTGCCACAGGAATGCCACTTGGATCTTTGCTAGGAATGTGAATAAGAGGAATTAAATAAATACCGATAAAGTCATGCTTTTACTAGAAAAGCTTTTTTATTTCTCTATTATTATTTTAAAAGCTCAATTTAGATATTTCTCAAGCTTACCACGTAACTAACTGAAGCTGCATTGTGACCCTATAAATCTACAAATTTAGAAGGATTAAACACAAGTCTTTCTCACT